TGTAGATCAGTTGCTCAGTTCCGCTTCTCGAAAAAACACTATTTCCAATCATGAGTGCCAGGAAGTAAGGCTCGCTTTTGCTTCTTTGCCACAAAATTTTTGAACGAGAAAGCAGCAACTGCTGTATTGCTGTTGCTGACACATGTGTTGCAAAACGAGACAGTGGCAGATGTGAGTGACGAAAGATGCTTGCCGGTCCTCTGTTCCTTGCCCCAGCTGCCCTGCGCTCCCATGTGATATGCAAATGTCTCGCCTCCAGTTCCCTTCGGAACATAAATGTAATGTGATTAGTGACAATGGTGGTAGGATATATATGCGTTTCTGCATATATGCAAATGCGAAAACTCATATTGTGACGAACCCGGTGTGTGTGTGTGTGTGTGTGTGTGTGTGTGTGTGTGTACATGTGTGAGTGTGTGCGTCTTCCGAGTATTTCAACTCGGCACCCAACCAAGCTCCAGCGCCAAAATTTTGCCAGTGGATTCTCCGACCAAGTGCCACTACAGGACCGCGGTACTGGCCTCACACATGTATGGGCCGTGTGTACGAGCCCCGCAAAATTTTGGCAGGAAAATCGCTAACTCGGGAGTCAGAAAAGCTGGAAAGCTGAAACGCTGCCCACATACAACACAAAGATTTCAAATTCAGTCTCCAGGCATACGTGCTACTTACGTACAGCCCCGTGAAGGTTCTAACGGGAAAATCGCCAACTTGGGATTCAGGAAAGCTGGGAGGCTGAAATTTTTAGAGAATGTTCCCAGCATATTTAAAACTTAAATTTACTAAATTCAGCCCCTCTCTGTGCGTGGTTCTTACGTACGGCCCTATGAAAATTTTTGGCGGGAAAATGGCTAACTCCGAGACTGGGAAAGCTGGGAGACTGAAATTTTTAGGGAATGTTCCCTGTCCAAGTACAGCGTAGATAATTAACTTCCTGAAATTCGAGGACCAGTATGTCACACATTTCTAGCTACTGGGTTTCCAAGCGATCTCAAAAAACTCATGATCGCATGGGCTCGCCCGGTGCCCGGTGCGCGTCGCCAATGATCTTTGTTGTGTTGGAGTGGCAGCAACGTCGTGCTACGACCGGCTGATGCTGTTTTCATTGTTGTTCTTCTGGATTTTGCTTCATTTTAAACAAAATTTGTTTTTGGTATAAGGTGCCGCACTCTGAACTGGTGCGTTCGACTTGCCCGACGTTACACATGCAATCACTCGATCTACTTCCGGGCGCCTCCGCTCCAATAGGCAGTTAGTGAAATATGAAGGGC